ACAAAATCGGCTACCGAAATTTAGATCGATCATTGTGTTGGTATTAACTTGTGGTGTGATTGAATTTGTAAATTGTACAAAGGAGGAAGCGTTTGTAGCATTTGTAGGTAGGTCATTCCACAGTTTAATTGTATCGTGCAAAAACGATTAGGCATAATTAGTCGATTTGCATCTTAGAGTCTGATAATTTTCATTGTTCCTAAGATTGTAGTTACTGTTATCAGAAACATTCCCTTAAGCAAGATCACAAAGATAGTCAGGTACCATATGGTTTACCATTTTGTAAAATAATGTTAATTTGAAGTTTCTCTCCGTTTCGATAAGGAAGTCAGGTTTGTCTCATGATATAGTTTCGCATGGCTCGTACCTCTAACTGCACCGCATATTGTGCGTAAGGCATCTAAGTGAATGTTTTCTAGTGACAAGGACTGTTCGTTTGTACAATTGCCCCAGAGATGACAGCAATAGTCAAATAGAGGTAAGATAAAGGATTTATACATTGTTTCGAGAATTTTGCGTGATAGTCTATATTTAAAACTACGAAGGCAATTAATCATAGGGCTAATTTTCCTTATCATTTCATTAATGTGGGAATGCCAAAGGAGGTTTTCCTGAAAAATAATGCCTAAGTGTTTATGAATCTGCACTTCATTTATAGGGGTACCATTCATCGAGAGGGGAGGTTTCGTAGAAGGTTTCGTTTTGTGTGAAAACTGGATAGTTTCAGTTTTGTTTGGATTAAATTTTACTTGCCAGGTTTCCGCCCATTTAGATATTCTGTGTAAATCTGAGTTAAGAATAAATGCACTCGTATGGGGATCGTCGATTATTACATAGAGTGATGTGTCGTCTGCGAAAAGGCGTATATTACTTTCGATTCCATCAACTATGTCGTTTATGTATATTAAGAATAAAAGAGGTCCAAGGACTGATCCTTGGGGCACTCCGGCTATTATCGGACATATACCAGATACAGTATAATGTCGGAGACGTCACATGAGGAGACGTCACATTGTATTTACCAGAATATGGGTCCCTTGGTGATTGAGGATGTATCACAGATGGATGTTGCTTCGGACCCAAGATTTCGTTTGTCCTGAAATGTGTCAATCCAGATTTCCAATCCTGATTTCACCAGGTACCAGATAAGAGAGGCTTTACCGTATACTATTTGACTTTGAACATGGAATGATTGACTGCATTGTGCTCTTTTAACCTGTTATCGGAACGGCAACAAAGACCTCCTAAACATATTGTAATATGTTTTGATAAAAAAAGATTTATATAGAGAGGGTAATAAAACATGCGAACTGCTGGGATATTCATAATCAAACCTTTTATCGTTATTTTGTTTTGTTTTTAAAAGACATATTAACAATATAAGTATACAAACAGCTGGAATATTCATTTTTAAACCGTTTAAAAGTTTTGTTGTTTTTAAATAATAAAAACGAGCATGTGTGTGTGCTATTTTCTAGCTTTCTGATCTATTACAGCTAAACGAAACAATATCATAGAAAAGTGTCGCAAAGGGAACATGTTCTGAAATACGCAAGGCTTTCACACTGGTCGATTCATACAGGGTGGTATACGTCTTCACTTTAGTCTTTCTAAGCTGACAAGCTGTCATCTAACGGAAATAATGTTAAAAGCAGAGTTATATCCAACTAACCAAGTGGCACTCACTCACTCACTCACCCACCCAATCACTGACTCACCCACGCACTCACTCACCCACCTAAACACTCAATCACCCACCCAAGCACTCACTGAGTCACTAACATAATCACTCACCGACCCACTCTCTCACTCACCCACCTAAACACTCAATCACCCACCCAAGCACTCACTAAGTCACTAACATAATCACTCACCGACCCACTCTCTCACTCACCCACCTAAACACTCAATCACCCACCTCAAACACTCAACAACCCACCCAAGCACTCACTCACTCATTCACCTAAACACTCACCCACCCACCTAACTCGCTTATTCACTCACTCACCCGCTCCTAACCCAAGCACTCGCCATGCATGTATTTATGTACATGTCTGTGTGTGTTATGTCTGTGTTTACTTTACGCCCGCTGTATGCGGCTATTAGCTCCACTTGTATCCATACAGGAATCTCTGTCTAGCCATCAATCTCGGCAACACCCAGAGGATGTATAGCTTCATGGTAATCCCCTCCACATATGCCTTATGCATGATATGCATGTGATACGTGGATGAAACAATGTCAATGCCAGGGTCACGGACTTCACTGTTCCACATGTTAGATTCTAAATGACATATAGTGATAAAATTGAAAATAGAGAGGGATAACCGGAGCACGACAGGTTCCTCTCGTCAGGCACGTAAAATATTTCCCCTAATGTGAAAGCGTCAATGAATGTTGTTTAACGCCGCAGTGGACAATATATAAACAACATGACGGCCAGCAGGACAGAATCAGGGTCCCGTGAAGATCCGGGTTAGAATTGGTCTTTAGCAACCCATGCTTGTCGTAAGAGGAATGGGTGGTCAGACTCGCTGACTTCGTTGACACATGTCATCGTATTTCAATTTTGCAGATCGATGCTCATGATGTTGATCACTGGATTTTCTGGTCCAGACTCTATTCACAGATCGCCGTCATATAGCTGGAATATGGCTGAGTGCGGCGTGAAATGAAACTCCCTCACCTATCTACACAGGCATGGCCACGTGCGTGCGTCCATCAACAGAATCGGGTCCTACATGGAAACTGCATGGTACGTACTATGCTGGGGTTAGGTGGGAGTTTTTTTTGAAGTTGTGTTTGAAATTAGATGTGAAGATCTGTGTCCATTTGTCGTACCCTCTATCCTAACCTGTGTTCGAATATGACCTTAACCTTGATTACGGTTTTAGGTTTGTCTGCCCTATATCCCCAAAGTATCCAAACAAAACACCGTCACTTTATGCTGTGTGTGTTTTGTCAGTCAAGCATTGTGGGTAAAATGTGTGATATGAAAAACAAGACGTAAAGAAGAGTCACAATATTTAATGCATATTTTAAAAAATGAAGATTAGGTAAAAAAATACAGGTCGCTGTATGTACAAAAAGTTGAAAAGTTCAGTGCATATGAATCTGATTCACCACACACATCGTTTCATGATCAACCCAGTAAACAGAAAGAAGTTTATCATAAACACCGAATACTGAGCAATACTACATCCCTCGCGTTAGGTCACTGCTCATGAAAACAAGACAAACGGATGTCAGCTAATATTTGTTCCGTTGTTAATATTTCAAGCAATGCTTTTTACGTTACGAAGGCCACAAAAAATCCCAGGCCACTGGAGTAGAAATTGTGTCCATGTGTGAAAACGACAAACATGCATGCTACTGATCGATTTGTCTGTCTCACAGTCCCTGAACCACATTATTTTCTCTACTGCCAAGCCCACTCTGCAGTACTAAAGCCCTAAATAAAGCAAGTCTGAGTCTCTGGTCTCCCTGGGTCTCCTTTTCAATTTATATGGGCTTGTTTGTCACTATCAAAATTATATATATTCAGGGACTAAGCATTAGTCTACTGATCGATGTACAGGTAGCATATATATTTCAACAAACAAAACTGTACGGGTAATTGTGCTTAAGGCGTTCCTATTCTGATGTTGTTTAATCTGTTACGATTCTGCTTTAACACAATGTTTAAAATTAAGGTACAATGTTTACATCACTGCCATTAGGACACTGTCCTCACAAAATGAGAACTATAAGAGATGTCATCGATCAATGTATCTATACATATATTCTATTTTGACAAATAACTAGGACCCATTTGCTAATATTGCTTATAACTGAGGCAAATAAGACACTTAAAACAGCCATACAATCACATTACTCTCTTGAGCAAGAGGAAATCTGGGAGGCTCCCTTCTTGGAGTAGGATTGTTGGAGTTGAGACGTCACTTCCGCAAAGCGGCGAATGGATCAAAATTATTTATCAGAGATAGCTATCTAATTCCCCGGATAAAAAGGATGTATAACAGTCGGCCTCACCTGTTGAAATTGACACAACTTTAATGTTATAGAGTTTACTCACAGCTGAAGGTCATTCAACGATGACGTCATACCTAAAAGGTCATTCAACGATGACGTCATACCTGAAGGTCATTTAATGATAACGTCATACCTGAAGGATGGAGGTCATAACAAGAACTAAGCACAAGCAGCTTCCCCACAAAGTACCCATATGTGATACAGATACGCTACGAGTAAAAGACTCCTTTCGAAAAGTTGACAGGGTTACAGCAGCAACGGTAATCGTTCACCAATAAAATATTCATCAGATACAAAATATAACTTCTGAAATTATTTGTAATGAAAAACTAGGAAATTACAACGGACAACAAAGCGTTGTATTACGGTATAAATTCACAAAGATCACCTTAACGAATTTGACGCTCCTCTACATTTCCTTGTTAAATTTCACTGTTTTCGTAAGCTAGTGAACAATGAAATACTTGCTTCGGGTAAAGATGTCTCACCATCAACTGTACTTATCACCGACAGATTATGGACTCAGTCGTAGATTTCGGTTGGCCAGAGGATCGCTTTCGGTTGGCTTTCGATTCGGATCAAGTCGTGTCTTGGCAGCGTTCCGACCAGTAGTCGATCTGGTAGTAACCCATTCGCATATCTGCAACACCTGAACTGTTGAACTCCAGGTGTAGAATGTGTACCTTTTCATTCACTCACTTACCCACTAATGACTAGTATGATTTTTGACGTTATCTCATACAACGTTCCCGATTTAATGCCATCAAAACCATTGGGACATTGACGTTTACTGACAAATGTCACCAATCGTGTCGTTCTGGCACGCGCACAGGAGGCTGGTGGCGAACAACACTAGATCGTGTTATATCCTTTATCAGCAAAGTAGACACAAATATGCATGCGGAAGTTACGCGGGTGATTACAAATGCCATTGGAAACACGACGATGTCCATGAAATCTCTTTTGTGAAGAATGCACATCTTCATACGAAAAGCCGAGGATTAAGGGGAGTACCTGAAAGAATGAATATAGAGTCAATGTTGATGAGATACGTTGATACTTGAAGGAGAGATTTGGACAAAGACGTCGGTTAACGTGAAAGCCATGACAAGATTCAAAGTTTGTTGTTGTTGTTGTTGTTGTTGTTTGTTTTTTTGTGGGGGGGGGGGAGAAAGACAGACCTCCCAAAAGACAGATCACCGATAAGACAGACTCAATAATTACACTAATTAGCTGAGCCATGCTGTCCACCCCTATTTAATTCATGAGCTGACCCAGAGTCACTACAGAGTATAGTATCATATTACTAATCCTTTTACTGAACAGAACAGAACAGAAACGAAATTATATTTTCTAAAAAATCACATATAGAGACACTGGACATTTAGTGCTGGACAGTATAATAAAAAGTGAAGTTCATCACTGACATCTAAATTCACATTATGTTTCAATTCTTTACAATACTGGTCAAACACATTCAAAGATTTTTGCAATCCATCACTTGTTTCAGCTAAGATGGCTACCTGTATGCAAAGAGCAAGGTGAAAGGAGAAAATGATGATATTCAAGTGACTTTCTAATAAGTGTTATCTGTGCACTGACAAAACATGTGATGTAAAATATTATGGTGCTTGGTCTCATATGTTTGATAGGTTCATGTATATATATTATTATTTTTGATAATATTCACAAATAAATGTGATCTGGCGAGTACATGTTGATGTGCATATATGTTGATGCAATATGTCTTAATTTAAAAATCATAATTCATTACATGAATTGCTAAAACTATAGTTAATACTTAATATTGTCTTTTTTATCTGGGCACATACCATTATTATCAAGGGTACAGCTTAAAGCCTTATGCAATCAACCATAAAATGTGTTATTTTAAACGGTCTGTCTTTTGGGAGGTCTGTCTCTGACGAAACACATTTTCTGTAGAATCATGTGTATTTGTGACACTCACCTTTGTTACGATAACACCATACAGGCATTTACAAGTTTAACGTAATTGGCTTCGTGATTATATCATATCCAACCTTGCGTTGTGTAACATGTTTTATCGATATATATTCACTCTGTGCACTGACTCAGCATTCACCTGGTGAAGGAGCAAGATTAAGCTCTAGAACGTTGTATAAAGAATAAAAGAAAGTTGCCATCCATAAAAACGTGTCATGTATTCATACACGCGAACAAAAATATACCAAAGATAGATTACTTTCTTAGAGTTAAAGGAACCATAAGAAAACATTATCAGTTGAAACTACCCCTAAGCGTATGCCCGCAGACAGTTCTCGACAATTCAAAGGTAACAAGGCATCATCTGGACTTACCCCTGTTTTCTGATAGCACAGCACAGCACCATCGCGAACACCATTCCCACAATCTGTCAAGTAAACAAGTTATAATTATTTATCGTAGACTTCTGTGGGTATTACGAATAGAAAATGTCCTTAGCAACATTACATATTATAATGTGATTAGCAGGAGTTGTAACAATATACGTATTCTGGATTTGTTTTTCAGTATTCCAGGCTGGAGGGGTAGCATAGTGGTTAAAGAGTTGAATTCCGGTTTGGATTCCCGGTATGGGTACAATGTGTGTCGCCCATATCTGATGCCCGCCGCCGTGATATTGCTGAAATATTGCTGTAAGCGGCGTAAAACCAAACTACCTCACTCTCTCACTATACGTGTATATCAAAGCCTTTGTCTTCGGTATACCATATTACTATGGGCATGCATGTGGTCTCATTTCAGGAAATAAAGGGTAGATTAGCCCCATGGGATCTGCATAACCTAAAAAGACCAAAGGCTTTCTTGTAGTTTTTGACCTCATTAGATGTGTGTATGCGCTGTGGCTATTCTACATTGATAAAGTACGACAGCAATTGGTGAGAAAAGGATGATTTTAGCAGGTTTCAAGAAACATGTTGAACCGGTATTCAATTATCCTATATTGACTATTAGCGCTATATAAATTTTCAGTATTATTATTATTATTTCAGTATTATCAGTATTATCATTAGTAAAACGATTACTCATTGGATAATCCATACAGATGGATCATTAATGTCAGTTAATGTGTTAAAAATGGCATCATAACTGAATCCCAGCGTTGTTTTCTCACTGGTTTTAAACACATATCTGTATTGTACTACCAGTTCATTTACTGTCCTTCGTAAGCAAGGTTTTTAGCTATGAAAAACTCCCGCACTCAAAATACTTATACTCACCACAGGAATTGCACATATTATCGGGATGAATACTATCAAGGTTGCTAAAGATGGCGTGACCATCTTGTCCAGACATGGCTGTAACAAGAACGAATTAAACATCAAACAGTAGCTGAACATGACATGTGACATTAAGGAGGCAATGTTTAAAGATTTATACCCATGGTTTATGTCTCACAGTCCCAGAAACACATTATTTCCCCTACTGCCTCGCCCTCCCTGCAGTGCTGAAGCCCTAAATAAAGCAAGTCTAAATTTCCTCAGGATCTGAATTTCCTAACCCACTGGTTCTCCGTTTCAATTTAGATGGGTTTATTTGTTACTACCAATATTACATATATAGGGACGAATCGTTAGTTTAGTCTACAGCAAGACTGTATATATATTTGTAAATGTTATTTGGGTGTGCGTGCGTGCCTGTGTGTGTGCCCAACTGACTGTTATATTTAATCACAACACTGTCACATGTTGTATTTGCCCTGTTTTGAATACTTACAGTCTGGTAGTTTTGAAATCTGCAGCTGGAAGGGATTTGAATGTTGATAATGTAATCCCCAGCACCCATTGATGAACCGCAACAGTCCAGCTGCAACAAATCAACAACTAGGAGTCAAGAAATATATGGTATCAGGACAACAACCCGGAGACAACTGTACCCTTACATCCCCTCCCCATCCCCTCCCCTCCCCTCCATCGTATCCCAATTGCGTAGATCGATGCTCATATGTCAATCACTGGATTGTCTGGTCCAGACACGATTATTTCCATACCGCTGTCATATAGCTGGAAGATTGCTGAGTGCGGTGTAAATGTAAAACAGCAAGCTACCATAATCATAATGCAGAGTGAAAGAAGAAATAAGGAGCCACATGGATGAGATATGACTGGTCACCTCATTTTGAATGGAGTCCATGAATTCCATTGAGTGTCTATCCGTCGAGTACGTCTCAACCTTTTCGTCAAGAAGTGCTTGAAATGCGCTTTTAACCTGTGAAGGGATAAAATAGAACTGAAGACGTACGAAAGTTGGAGTAAATATTTAATACATTCTTATCGTTAATGTTTGAACTATATAAATGCTTTGACTGGGCACCTGTCTACACAAGGAGCTGACGGGGGCGGTGGTTCAGTTCTGGCTTACAACGACTAATCGACAAGAAACAAGTCATTCATTGGTCCACAAAAATAAGACATACGGATTTTGATTGTGAAGTACAATTGCCTTTTCTGGCACCCAAAATAACTTTGGAGGTGTTAAATTACCTAAAGAAATACCTCAAACAAAACAGAGTGTGTTGCATGTGTCATATAAGTGGCCTGATGATTAAAATATATGTTATTTTTCACTGATAGTTTGGTTTCATTAAATAATTAATGAGTTACATATTCATGGCCTTAAAGCCAACCTACTCACTAAATGTTATTGTGCACAATAACAGCTCACGGAAAACTATCTGCTCACCACATCAGACACCATGTCCTTCATCAAAAACAGGCGAACCGCAAGCCCAACAAGAGAGATGAAGATGAGGGCCAGGCTGATGAAAAACTAGAAGAGAAATACAACCATCGATTAACAAGAGCTGGGGGTTTCCCACCAAAGTGCTAAGCATTTTAGACCAGCACTGTTTCGGACAATCCTCCCACATTAAGCTGAAACCTCGTTATAAGGAATACTGTCCAAAGCGGACTTAAATGCAAACCATTCACACACATAATTCAACGTATCCGGTGCCGCAATTCGAAGACCTGTTTCCCTTACACGTGCAAGAAACTAAGATTATTCCTAATTTGACGTCAAGGTTTGTCAACATCGTAACCATGCTCCCTTATACCCGTGCTCCCTTATACCCGTGCTCCGCCAAACCCATGCTCCCTTATACCCATGCTCCCTTATACCCGTGCTCCCTTCTACCCGTGCTCCCTTATACCCGTGCTCCCCAAACCCATGCTCCCTTATACCCATGCCCCCTTATACCCATGCTCCCTTATACCCATGTTCCCATATACCATTGCTCCCTTATACCCATGCTCCTTTATACCCATGCTCCCTTATACCCACGCTCCCTTATACTATTGCTCCCTTATACCCGTGAACCCTTATACCATTCCTCCCTTATACCCGTGCTCCCTTATACCCGTGCTCCCTTATACCCATGCTCCCTTATACTATTGCTCCCTTATACCCGTGAACCCTTATACCCGTGCTCCCTTATACCATTGCTCCCTTATACCATTGCTCCCTTATACCATTGCTTCCTTAGACCCGTGCTCCCTTATACCCATGCTACCTTAACCACTGGTCCCTTATACCATTGGTCCCTTATACCCATGCTCCCTTATACCCGTGCTCCCTTATACCGTTGCTCCCTTATATAATTGTTCCCTTATACCCATGCTCCCATATACCCGTGCTCCCTTATACCATTGCTCCCTTATACCCATGCTCCCTTACACCATTGCTCCCTTATACCATTGCTCCCTTATACCCATGCTCCCTTATACCATTGCTCCCTTATACCCGTGCACCCTTATACCCGTGCTCCACTATACCCTTCCTCCTCTGTACCCATGCTCTCTTATACCCGTGCTCCCTTATACCCGTGCTCCCTTATACCATTGCTCCCTTATACCATTGCTCCCTTATACCATTGCTCCCTTATACCCGTGCTCCCTTATACCCATGCTCCCTTACACCCATGCTCCTTTATACCCATGCTCCTTATACCATTGCTCCCTTATACCCGTGCTCCCTTATACCATTGCTCCCTTATACCCATGCTCCCTCCTACGTTTTTTTCCCTTATACCCGTGAACCCTTACACCCGTGCTCCCTTTTACCCGTGCTCCCTTATACCATTCCTCCCATATACCATTGTTCCCTTATACCTGTGCTCCCTTATGCCCATGCTCCCTTATACCCATGCTCCCTTATACCCATGCTCCTTATACCATTGCTCCCTTATACACATGCTCCCTTATACCCGTGCTCCCTTATACCCGTGCTCCCTTATACCCGTGCTCCCTTATACCCGTGCTCCCTTATACCCATGCTCCCTTATACCATTGCTACCTTATACCCGTGCTCCCTTATACCCATGTTCCCTTATACCAGTGCTCCCTTATACCCATGCTCCCTTATACCCATGCTCCCTTTTACCCATCCTCCCTTATACCATTGCTCCCTTATACCCATCCTCCTTATACCCATTGCTCCCCTTTATACCCATGCCCCTTATTCCCATGCCCTTATACCATTGTTCTCTTTATACCCGTGCACCCTTATACCCGTGTGCCCCTTATAATCGTGCTCCCTTATACCCGTGTTCCCTTTATACCCGTGCTCCCTTATACCCGTACAAGTTCACCATACCCGTGTTCCCTTATACCATTGCTCCCTTTTATACCCGTGCTCCCTTTATACCCGTGCTCCCTATACTGTGCTCCCTTATACCCAGGTGCTCCCTTATACCGTGCTCCCTTATACCCGTGCTCCCTTATACCATTGCCCCCTTATACCCATGCTCCCTTATACCTGTGCTCCCTTATACACATGCTCCCTTATACCCGTGCTCCCTTATACCCGTGCTCCCTTATACCCACGCTCCCTTATATTATTGCTCCCTTACACCCATGCTCCCTTATACCCATCCTCCTCTATACCCATGCTCCCTTATACCCATGCTCCCTTACACCCATGCTCCCTTATACCATTGCTCCCTTATACCCGTGCTCCCTTATACCGATGTTCCCTTATACCAGTGCTCCCTTATACCCATGCTCCCTTTTACCCATGCTCCCTTTTACCCATCCTCCCTTATACCATTCCTCCCTTATACCCATCCTCCCTTATACCATTGCTCCCTTATACCCATGCCCCCTTATTCCCATGCTCCCTTATACCATTGCTCCCTTATACCCGTGCACCCTTATACCCGTGCTCCCTTATACTCCGTGCTCCCTTATACCCGTGCTCCCTTATACCCGTGCTCCCTTATACCCGTGCTTCACCATACCCGTGCTCCCTTATACCATTGCTCCCTTATACCTGTGCACCCTTATACCCGTGCTCCCTTATACTCGTGCTCCCTTATACCCGTGCTCCCTTATACCCGTGTTCCCTTATACCCGTGCTCCCTTATACCATTGCTCCCTTATACCCGTGCTCCCTTATACCATTGCTCCCTTATACCCGGGCTGCCTTATACCATTCCTCCCTTATACAATTGCTCCCTTACACCCGTGCTCCCTTATACTATTGCTCCTTTATACCCATGCTCCCTTATACCATTGCTCCCTTACACCCATGCTCCCTTATACCCATCCTCCTCTATACCCATGCTCCCTTGTACCCATGCTCCCTTATACCATTGCTCCCTTATACCCATGCTCCCTTATACCCATGCTCCCTTATACCCATGCTCCCTTATACCATTGCTCCCTTATACCCGTGCTCCATTATACCCATGTTCCCTTATACCAGTGCTCCCTTATACACATGCTCCCTTATACCATTGCTCCCTTATACCCATCCTCCCTTATACCATTGCTCCCTTATACCCATTCTCCCTTATTCCCATGCTCCCTCATACCCGTGCTCCCTTATACCATTGCTCCCTTATACCCGTGCTCCCTTATACCCATCCTCCATTATACCATTGCTCCCTTATACCCATGCCCCCTTATTCCCATCCTCCCTTATACCATTGCTCCCTTATACCCGTGCTCCCTTATACCCATCCTCCATTATACCATTGCTCCCTTATACCCATGCCCCCTTATTCCCATCCTCCCTTACACCATTGCTCCCTTATACCCGTGCACCCTTATACCCGTGCTCCCTTATACCCGTGCTTCACCATACCCGTGCTCCCTTATACCATTGCTCCCTTATACCCGTGCTCCCTTATACCATTGCTCCCTTATACCCGTGCTCCCTTATACCCATGCTCCCTTATACCCGTGTTCCCTTATACCCCTGCTCCCTTATACCATTGCTCCCTTATACCCGTGCTCCCTTATACCCGTGCTCCCTTATACCCATGCTCCCTTATACTATTGCTCCCTTATACCCGTGAACCTTAATACCCTTGCTCCCTTATACCCGTGCTCCCTTATACCATTGCTCCCTTATACCATTGCTTCCTTATACCCGTGCTCCCTTATACCCTTCCTCCTCTGTACCCATGTTCCCTTATACCCATGTTCCCTTATTCCCGTGCTCCCTTATACCCGTGCTCCCTTATACCATTGCTCCCATATACCATTGCTCCCTTATACCATTGCTCCCTTATACCCATGCTCCCTTATACCCATGCTCCTTTATACCCATGCTCCTTATACCATTGCTCCCTTATACACTAGCTCCCTTATACCCGTGCTCCCTTATATCATTGCTCCCTTATACCCATGCTCCCTCCTCCTTTTTTTCCCTTATACCCGTGAACCCTTATACCCGTGCTCCCTTATACCCGTGCTCCCTTATACCATTGCTCCCATATACCATTGCTCCCTTTTATACCCGTGCTCCTTATACCCATGCCCCTTTATACCCATGTCCCTTTATACCCATGTTCTTATACCATTGTTCCCTTTATACACGTGCTCCCTTTATACACGTGCTCCTTTATACCATTGTTCCCTTTATACCCATGTTCCCTTATACTATTGTTCCTTTATACCCGTGAACCCTTATACCCATGCTCCCTTATACCCGTGCTCCCTTATACCATTGCTCCCTTATACCATTGCTCCCTTATACCCATGCTCCCTTATACCCATGCTCCTTTATACCCATGCTCCTTATACCATTGCTCCCTTATACACTAGCTCCCTTATACCCGTGCTCCCTTATACCATTGCTCCCTTATACACTAGCTCCCTTATACCCGTGCTCCCTTTATACCATTGCTCCCTTTATACTCATGCTCCCTCCTACTTTTTCCCCTTTATACCCGTGGAACCCTTATACCCATGTTCTTATACCATTGTCCCTTTATACACCAGCTCTTTATACCCGTGCTCCTTATACCATTGCTCCCTTTATACTCATGCTCTACCCTCCTTTTTTTTCCCTTATACCCGTGAACCCTTATACCCGTGTTCTCTTTATACCCGTGTTCTCTTTATACCATTGTTCCATATACCATTGTTCCCTTTATACCCGTGCTCCCTTTATACCATTGCTTCCTTATACCCATGCTCCCTCATACCCATGTTCCCTTATACCCATCCTCCTCTATACCCATGCTCCCTTATACCCGTGCTCCCTTATACCCGTGCTCCCTTATACCCATGCTCCCTTATACCATTGCTCCCTTATACCCGTGCTGCCTTATACCATTCCTCCCTTATACAATTGCTCCCTTACACCCGTGCACCCTTATACCATTGCTCCCTTATACCCATGTTCCCTTATACCCATCCTTCTCTATACCCATGTTCCCTTATACCCATCCTCCTCTATACCCATGCTCCATTATACCAATCTCCCTCATACCCGTGCTCCCTTATTCCCATGCTCCCTTATACCATTGCTCCCTTATACCCGTGCACCCTTATACCCGTGCTCCCTTATACCCGTGCTCCCTTATACCATTGCTCCCTTATACCATTGCTCCCTTATACCCGTGCACCCTTATACCCGTGCTCCCTTATACCCATGTTCCCTTATACCCATGCTCCCTTATACCATTGCTCCCTTATACCCGTGCTCCCTTAGACCATTGCTCCCTTATACCCGTGGTCCCTCATACCCGTGATCCCTTATACCATTGCTCCCTTATACCAATTCTCCCTTATACCCATTCTCCCTCATACCCATGCTCCATTATACCAATCTCCCTTATACCCGTGCTCCCTTATTCCCGTGCTCCCTTATTCCCGTGCTCCCTTATACCCGTGCACCCTTATACCCGTGCTCCCTTATACCCGTGCTCCCCTTATACCATTGCTCCCTTTATACCATTGCTCCCTTATACCCGTGCTCCCTTATACCCGTGCTCCCTTATACCATTGCTCCCTTAGACCCATGCTCCCTTAGACCATTGCTCCCTTAGGCCCGTGGTCCCTTAGGCCCGTGCTCCCTTAGGCCCGTGCTCCCTTAGACCCGTGCTCCCTTATACCCGTGCTCCCTTATAACCATGTTCCCCTTTGCCCGTGCTCCCTCATACCCGTGCTCCCTTAAACCCGTGTTCCACCAAACCCATGCTCCACCATACCCGTGCACCACCAAACCCTCTGCTCCACCCGTTCTCCACCATACCCGTGCACCACCAAACCCGTGTCTCCACCCGTTCTCCACCATACCCGTGCTCCACCAATCACATGCTCAACCCGTTCTCCCCCATACCCATGCTCCACCAATCCCATGCTCCACCCGTTCTCCCCAATACCCGTACTCCACCCGTTCTCCACCATACCCGTGCTCCACCAAACCCGTGCTCCACCCGTTCTCCACCATACCCGTGCTCCACCAATCTCATGCACCACCTGTTCTTCCCCATACCCGTGCTCCACCAACCCATGCTCCACCCGTTCTCCCCCATACCCGTGCTCCACTATGCCTTTCATAGGGGGCGGTGGGGTAGCCTTGTAGTTACAGCGTTCTTCTTTAGACACGTCGAATGTTCGATTCCGCAAATGCGTACAACGTGGAAAGCCCATTTCATTCTCCCGTCACAATATAGCTGAAGTATTCCTTAAAGCGGTGTAAGCCCATACTCACTCACTCACTCACTCACTCACCTACACACACACACTCTCAAGACCGCGTTAAACCAAAACAATATCAGTCAAATGGCTCTACACCTCCATCCTGCGGCATCTTTCGAACAATAACTCACATTGTGTGACAATAAACAGCTCGGGGGTCTTTCTCTTGTAAACTCTTGTAAAAAAGGTGAAACTATATATCAGTAAAAGGCTGATAATAAGTACGAAACGCTTCAGCTTCTGTTCATATATTTATTTATGACCACCTTCGTGGTGTAGTGGTTAGAGCGTCCGCCCGGAGAGCGGAAGGTCGCGGGTTCGATTCCCGACCGCGTCATACCAAAAGACCTTAAACTATGGTACTTGTTGGTCCCTGCCTGGCGCTCGGCATTAATGGGTACAACAAGGACTGGTCGGCTCGGAGTCAGTATAATGTGTCCGAGTGGGGTATTCATGCTTCGCTACGGCGTGGTATCTCAGTGGGCTGGCATTATAAAACCAGCTTAAGTCTGGGCTAGTACAAGCAGCCGCACATACACATACACACACGCATGCACGTCGTCATATGAGCGAAATATTCTCAAGCACAACGTTAAAACCAATTTCACCTCACTTCATATATTTATTTCCCTCAATACCTTATTGAAAGACGAGAAATGGTCAAATTGTCGGAGAGTCGCAATATTACGTTTAGTTCTTTTGATAATAATATTTTGATATAGTAAAGGCGTCAAGATGGCAAAGAGACAATGACATACATTTTCCCACGTATATTTAGATAAAGAAAACCTTCGACCAATATATCCTCACAGAATCTACTCACAGACACAAGCAGGCACTGGCTCTCTCTGAGTGCCCCACAACATCCGAAAAAGCCAACAACTGTGATGATGATACCGACTGCGATGAAGCCGTAGGCAACAATGTGAGCCATGTCTTCTTCCCGCAAATACAAGTTTATATTCGGGTCAAGTCTGACCCAAATCCCCACGGCAAGAAGAGCAAGACCAACGACCTGAAACAGACATAAAATTACATTTGTGACGTTATTCCATTGTCTGCTCGCTCCATTATTTTTCAGGAATGGAGCGATCTGTACCAGTTTCAAATGTAAGACTTTGATAGTTCGTTTCATTTGACTTTTAAAATTACCAATATTTTGAATGTAATTTAAGTAGGGTAATATCCTCGCAACTTACCATTCCTTAAACATAATGGGCTGGGGCTCCATTACTTTTCAGGAATGGAGATCAGTTACTCGGGCATTACACTCTGCTGAAAGTTACTTTACAGGACTTTCTGTGAGTGGGCCTCTATTCCGTTTCGATTGTACGATATGTTAGGTGGGCAGTTGACTTGGCTTTGCATGCATTTGAGTCATCATCATCTTGGACTCGTCACGATTTGAGAGTGATTCATCGACACATATTTATTATGTAGTTTGCATCGTACACTGTATGGAAAGAGATGAAGGTTTACAAACCGGTCCAGACATCAGTGACAGTTCTAATTTAATGGTTTATAGCTTGAAATTATTCCAAATGGCATCGGTTCAAATAGGTCACAGCAGTCATTATTTGACTCCCGTTTTACACCAAGTTTTCACACAAACTGATAAATTGGTAGTATGAAGAAAATCTTTGTCATTAAACATTCAGTAACAAAAGTCATATCTTTTCCCTGTACATTCTGAACAGTCATCCTAAATCTTCTGAACAGATTGATATATTTCTTTAGACCAGGTACTATCGCTCTTCTGTTTCGATTGATATCGTTCTAGTACATAGTACATCTAACCAAAACCCATAATACACCTAACCGACATACGCAGTACATCTAATCTACAGCCACGAAGCATCTAGCCTAAACACACTACATCTTACCAACACACGCAGTACATCTAACCTAAACTCATTGTCCGCCTTCACATTCGTACACAGTTATACCACAGTAGAGCCACGCCCGTGTTTTAACCTTCATCACATCTAAGCCTACACCTATGTACATCCGCACGTCCATCCACAGTACAACTAGAGTACACCTACGCCTACTCCTATATATATCCGCATGTCCATCCACTGTACACCTACAGTACACCTAGAGTACATCTAAGCCTACACCTATCAATATACGCATGTACCTCCACAGTACACCTACAATACCCTAGAGTACATCTAAGCTTACACCTATGTACATCTGCATGTCCATCCACAGTACACCTAGAGTACATCTACAGTCCATCTAAGACTACACCTATGAATATCCGCATGTACATCCACAGTACACCTACATTACCCCTAGAGTACATCTAAGCCTACACCTATGTACATCTGCATGTCCATCCACAGTACACCTAGAGTGCACCTACAGTACATCTAAGCCTACACCTATGTACATCGACACGTCCATCCACAGTATACCTACAGTACACCTACAGTACATCTAAGCCTACACCTATGTACAGCCGTACGTCCATCCACAGTAAACCTAGAGTATATCTAAGCCTAAAACTTATGTATATCCGCACGTCCATCCACAGTAAACTTAGAGTACATCTAAGCCTACACCTATGTACATCCACACGTCCATCCACGGTACACATAGAGTACATCTAACACCTACATCCGCACGTTCATCCGCAGTACACCTACAGTAAACCTAGAGTACATCTAAGCCTACACCTATGTACATCCGCACGTCCATCCAGAGTACACCTAGAGTACATCTAAGCCTTCACCTATGTACATCCGCACGACCATCCACAGTTCACCTAGAGTACATCTAAGCCTACACCTATGTGCATCCGCACGCCCATCCACAGTACACCTAGAGTACATCTAACCCTACACCTATGTACATCCGCACGTCCATCCACAGTACACCTAGTGTACATCTAAGCCTACACTTATGTACATCCGCACGTCCATCTCCAGTACATCCGTACTGTACTATGCACCCGTACGTCCATCCACATTAAACCTAAAGTACATCTCCAGTACATCTAAGCCTACTTATGTACATCCGCACGCCCATCCACAGTACACCTACGGTACATAGAAGCCTACACCTATGTACATCCGCACGCCCATCCACAGTACACCCTGAGTACATAGAAGCCTACACCTATGAACATCCGCACGCCCATCAAAAGGACACCTAGAGTACATAGAAGCCTATACTTATGTACATCCGCACGCCCATCCACAGTACACCTAGAGTACATCTAAGTCTCCACCTATGAACATCCGCACGCCCATCCACAGTACACCCAGAGTACATAGAAGCCTACACTTATGTACATCCGCACGCCCATCAAAAGGACACCTAGAGTACATAGAAGCCTATACTTATGTACATCCGCACGCCCATCCACAGTACACCTAGAGTACATCTAAGTCTCCACCTATGTACATCCGCACGCCCATCCACAGTACACCTAGAGTACATCTAACCCTACACCTATGTACATCCGCACGCCCATCCATAGTACACCTAGATTATGTCTAAGCCTCCACCTATGTACATCCGCACGTCCATCCACGGTACACCTAGAGTACATCTAACCCTACACCTATGTACATCCGCACGCCCATCCACAGTACACCTAGAGTACATCTAAGTCTCCACCTATGTACATCCGCACGCCCATCCATAGTACACCTAGAGTACATCTAACCCTACACCTATGTACATCCGCACGCCCATCCATAGTACACCTAGATTATGTCTACGCCTACACCTATGTACATCCGCACGCCCATCCACAGCACACCTAGAGTACATCTAAGCCTACACCTATGTACATCCGCAAGCCCATCCACAGCACACCTAGAGTACATCTAAGCCTACACCTATGTACATCCGCAAGCCCATCCACAGCACACCTAGAGTACATCTAAGCCTACACCTATGTACATCCGTACGTCCATCCACAGTACACCTAGTGTACATCTAAGCCTACACTTATGTACATCCGCACGTCTATCCACAGTACATCTCGAGTACATCTACAGTACACCTTAGCCTACACTTATGTGCACCCGTACGCCCATCTACAGTACACCTAGAGTACATCTAAGCCTTCACCTATGTACATCCGCACATCCATCCACAGTACACCCAGAGTACATAGAAGCCTACACCTATGTACATCCGCAAGCCCATCCACAGTACACCTAGAGTACATCTAACCCTACACCTATGTACATCCGCACGTCCATCCACAGTACACCTACAGTACATCTAAGCCTACACGTATGTACATCCGCACGCCCATCCACATTACATCTAGAGTACATCTAAGTTTGCACCTATGTACATCCGCACGCCCATCCACAGTACACCTAGAGTACATCTAACCCTATACCTAGGTACATCCGCACGCCCATCCACAGTACACCTAGAGTATATCTAAGCCTACACCTATGTACATCCGCACGTCCTTCCACAGTACACCTTGAGTACATCTAACCCTACACTTATGTACATTCGCACGTCCATCCACAGCACACCTAGAGTACATCTAACCCTATACCTAGGTACATCCGCACGTCCATCCACAGTACACCTACAGTACATCTAAGCCTACACGTATGTACATCCGCACGCCCATCCACATTACATCTAGAGTACATCTAAGTTTACACCTATGTACATCCGCACGCCCATCCACAGTACACCTAGAGTACATCTAACCCTATACCTAGGTACATCCGCACGCCCATCCACAGTACACCTAGAGTATATCTAAGCCTACACCTATGTACATCCGCACGTCCTTCCACAGTACACCTTGAGTACATCTAACCCTACACTTATGTACATCCGCACGTCCATCAACAGTACACCTTCAGTACACCTACAGTACACCTTTGCCTACACTTATGTGCACCCGTACGTCCATCTACAGTACACCTAAAGTACATCTAAGCTTACACCTATGTACATCCGCACGTCCATCCACAGTACACCTAGAGTTCTTCTGAACCTGTACTTATGTACATCCGCACGTCCATCCACAGTACATCTCCAGTACATCTAAGCCTACACTTATGTGAATCCGCACGTCCATCCACAGTACACCTTCAGTACACCTACAGTACACCTTTGCCTACACTTATGTGCACCCGTACGTCCATCTACAGTACACTTAGAGTACATCTAAGCCTCCACCTATGTACATCCGCACGTCCATCCACAGTACACCTTCAGTACACCTACAGTACACATTTGCCTACACTTATGTGCACCCGTACGTCCATCTACAGTACACCTAGAGTACATCTAAGCCTACACCTATGTACATCCGCACGTCCATCCATAGTACACCTAGAGTACATCTAAGCCTACACCTATGTACATCCGCACGTCCATCCACAGTACACCTAGAGTACATCTAAGCCTCCACCTATGTACATCCGCACGTCCATCCATAGTACATCTAGAGTACATCAAAGTTATTCTACATCTAACCTGCATCGCGCCTGTACCTGCATGTATCAACATGTACAGAAGGCTCACATCCAGTCACCCAATACCCTAACCCATCCATCATACCCCAACATGAACACTGCCACGTGTGGACCAACGCCCTATGTGTAGCTCTTTACCGGTAGCCCATAGCACAAGCTAACACTTAGTCTGTCTCACAGTCCCTGAACCACATTATTTTCCCCACTGACAAGCCTTCTCTGCAGTGCTAAAGCCCTAAATAAAGCAAGTCTAGGTTTCCTCAGGTTCAGGAATCTCTGATCTCCCTAGGGCTCCTTTTCAATATAAATGGGCTTGTTTGTTACTATCAAAATTATATATATTCAGAGACTAAACCTTAGTCTAGCTAACACTGTAAAGTATTTCCTTTGATTGTCGTCAATATTCCAGCCGTCCGACGGCGAACTGTAAATAATCGAATCTGAATCAGCTGACTGATAATAAGATCGATCCAGTCCATCGGAATTCACCGTCTAACGGCCAGCGTAGTTGACTGGATATCTCCCCCAACCCACAGTATAACAGCATACATAACCGTCAAGCTGCCATACCCTAACAGATAAAGGCGAATAAGCATGGGAACATGTTGGCGCTTTTCTCATTTCCTTTCTCGGTGTTTAATTCATTCACTGTCCTAGTTTTAATTATGTCCGATTAATATTTCAAAATACTAACCCGATCGTGTTTCACATTAATCCTGAAACTTATTCAGATTAAAATCTGTGAAAACATCATTTTGTTCATGGAAATTGTGTCCACTTTGTGTTCACGCCAAGGTTCAGCTGGCAGCAATTAGTCAGGACCCATGCAGTTTGACAAATACTAAACCGCCACAGGCCTTCCTTTGTGGCCAACTGACCAGACAGCTGACCACCTGGGCAGAGAGACAAAGACTGCACAGTAAACGAAAACTCTCAGCCCCGCCTTAATTGGGTCGCGTTATTGAAAGTCTATTGCGAGTCTTTTCGCACTGAAAGTAATCCAGCATGTGCTGAATACATTCTCTAAAATGATGCATACTAATATCTTGACAAAGACTCGGTTTCAGATAATGGCAAAACAATGATCTTAACAATATGAACTATCTCTTCCTGTAGAGAAATTGTCCCTTTGTTCTTTTCCGAGAGGAAGTAGTCGGACGGAACAATTTTGACTGGGAACAAGTACCCACGATACATCTACACTGGCAACACGTGTTCTAGTAATAGTTTGAATGGTCATATATCTGCCCAACTCACTCCTGGATGTAGGTATAACAACAATACCGCTATTCACGGGTAGCCTCTCAAGCTGAAGGGTCGTTGTCGGCAGTATAGATATGTACCGCAGTTATTCCCGTTCAACTGATGGCGAGTGGTATATTGTGCATATGGGTGTGTATATGCGAGTGCTATATATGTATTGACAAAAACAAATCATTCCATTTAACCTGAGGACATTTTTGACTTGAATCATTTAATGCATTCGAATTGCAGAGGGACTGGGTGGACACTGGAAGACAAACAACAACTATCCCAATATATACCGGTTCAGTGTGATTTCACCCACATACTCACAGAGAGAAAGAGAGGGAGAGGGGAGAGAGAGAGAGAGAAGGCTTGTTGCGCAAGAGCTGGCAATGTGACAAATGAATGGAGAGTGATGATAATGTAATACAATATATATCCTCCATACTGTATGTAATAAGACCACCAGCATGATCTAACCGTTATTAAGGGGTTGTGACAAACCGCCATTCATTATTAGGTTCATCTCAGCTCCGTAAATTGTGTCACTGATCTATAAAGTACATAATATATCACATGGCGAGAGCAGCGAGGAAACAGCTTGATATGGTTAAATTAACCTGTTGTTCGTCTGGGACATTAATAATTGTTGATGAGACTGCACTCCGCGCACTTTCTTTGTGACCTGGTCTGGCGGAATGATAAACAAGAGTAGACGAATGGCATCCACGCACAGCGACAAATAAACGAGCTCATTAATGTCAAGCAGCGAACCGAGTCTTGTAGCAGGCGCAGGTCGTTGTATGAACCATGTTTTGAACAAACCGTTTGCAGACAACGACATCAGTTGAAGAAATGCACATATGATCAGCATCAGCGAGATAGAATAGTTCACCTACCGAGAATATGACGTTAAATCCAACAAGCAAATACTTGATGCATGTATAACAGCCTCCCAAACCCATGACTAGACGATGGTGTATCCTCACAGAAATACGGGAAGTAGCAGTGCCAAGATACCAAACAGCGTACCCCTGACTGAACAGCGATCTGGGCTGGCGGATGTGACGTGATCGCGACGCTGTATGTGTAATGCTATTTATAAACTGACATCGATTGTACAGCCAGGCCGCGTACACTTGATCATGACTGAATACTGGAAAGGTCAGACAAAAGCAAACATGCAGACTGTTGGTAATTCAGGCTGCTTTAGCTCATAATAGAAATCTGACTTCTACAAATATGAATGATATCAGTTACTAGTTATATTAATACGATGTTGCAATTCGAGACGGTTTGGAAAGAACATTTATATTCAGCTAATGTTTACAGACACAGCTATTGTAATTGTATATAAGAGGAATGCATACACCTTTGAAAGCTGACAGATGCTATATGTTTAGATGCTATATGTTTAGATGCTATATGTTTAGATGCTATATGTTTATAGTCTAAATACAGCAATACAAACAATCCCAGATACATTGCAAAGGCTCCGGGTTCGAGTGTTTGAGAGAGTTAACACCGCTATTAACAGTGTGCTTACCGGCACACCGACGGTTGTCAAAACAAATACAAGTGTGTGTACAATTCATGGTATTGTCATACCGGCGATACTAGCAGGTAGATTAAGGTACACCCCAAAACAAATACAAGTGTAAGTATGTAAAATTCATGGTGTTGTCATTCCGACGATACTAGCAGGTAGGTTAAGATACACCTCAAAACAAATACAAGTGTGTATGTACAATTCATGTTGTTTTCATACATGCAATACCAGTAGGTATGTATTATTATGTTAAGCTACGCCTCAAAATAAATACAAATGCGTAGGCACAATTCATGATGTTGCCATTAACTGAGATAACAGTAAGTGGGGTAAGATACATCTCTCAACCAATACAGGGGTGATGTCATGTTCCTCGTGTGTTTTGTCATACATAGGTGTGTTGGTTGAGCCTCCAATTCTTCTCACTGTCTTTCTCTCATCCTGATAGTTAGATTGAGCAGGGAGGGGATGGGTGAAAGGTATTTATAGCACAGGAAACATAAATGCCATTAGTTGAGAACACAACTGAATTGTATGAGAAAATAAAGTTATATATATATAAACCTCCATGGGATAAGACTTTAAACAGGTTTACAATTCAATCGTCATTGTACATAGGCAACGGTTGATATATCATTGTTGAAGCTTAAAAGACGAGTGTCAACTAATTTGACCATGATAGTCTCCTCGTACAACCAACCAGCATAAGTGTCTGCGGTTCCATATCGACCATTTCCTCCGGGCCCGGATGACCTCAATGGCTGCTCGTGCCATCAGTGTCCGGTTTGTTTGGTCCAGACTCAATCAACTACAAACAGCAGAGCAAAAACTGGATATCGATCCATGCTTGCATTCCCCCATCTTCCCAAGTACCCTAATGAGGAGGTCAGTGTTAATTAGGATTTGTGCATCTTTGGTCACATCTGAAGATATTTCTTCTGCAACATTCTCTCACTTTATTGAAGTGAGGGAGTCCAGTGGGGACGATCCTGGATAATCCAAGATATTACAGCTCCATCCTATTATGATCAACCAATGAAGACACATTCGTCACCATTTCTCTTATCATTACCATAATGTTTTAAAGCTATAACCAAACAAAATGTCTTTTCTGAGTGCGAGTTCTAAATGCAATATCGCAGGCTCTCCCAAAAGCATTTACGATGGGTTCAAGTCAATACGGGACTTGTTTCACTGAGTTAGGATGGACAAAGATACTTTCCTTGGTATAAAGAGGGGCCAAACATAGCGAGACGAGTTCTATTGATATGTGTGTTTATTGAAATATCAAAAGACAGTATAATTGATTTTTGAGAAACATCTTGCCGGTGAACTCTGTGACGGTCGACACGTGCCCTTTTCTGCAATTTTGAAACCGTAGCTGTCATCTTTGTAAGTTCACTCTATCAGTGTAAGTTAACTCCGTCAGTGTAAGTTCACTCACGCAGTCAGTATAAGTTCACTCACTCTATCAGTGTCAGTTCATTCTGTCAGTGTAAGTTCAGCCACTCTATCAGTGTCAGTTCACTCCGTCAGTGCAAGTTCACTCACTCTATCAGTTCACTCAGTCTATCAGTGTCAGTTCATTCTGTCAGTGTAAGTTCAGCCACTCTATCAGTGTCAGTTCACTCCGTCAGTGCAAGTTCACTCACTCTATCAGTGTCAGTTCACTCCGTCAGTGCAAGTTCACTCACGCAATCAGTGTAAGTTCACTCACTCTATCAGTGTAAGTTCATTCTGTCAGTGTAAGTTCACTCACTCCGTCAGTGTAAGTTCACTCACTCTGTCAGTGTAAGTTCACTCACTCTGTCAGTGTAAGTTCACTAAGTCAGTATCACTCACTCTATCAGTGTATCAGTTCATTCTGTCAGTGTAAGTTCACTCACTCTGTCAGTGTAAGTTCACTCACTCCGTCAGTGTAAGTTCATTCTATGAGTGTAAGTTCACTCACTCTGTCAGTGTAAGTTCACTCACTCTATCAGTGTAAGTTCACTCACTCTATCAGTGTCAGTTCATTCTGTCAGTGTAAGTTCACTCACTCTGTCAGTGTAAGTGTCAGTGTAAGTTCATTCTATGAGTGTAAGTTCACTCACTCTGTCAGTGTAAGTTCACTCACTCTATCAGTGTAAGTTCACTCACTCTATCAGTGTAAGTTCATTCTGTCAGTGTACGTTCATTCTGTCAGTGTAAGTTCACTGACTCTATCAGTGTAAGTTCACTCACTCTGTCAGTGTAAGTTCATTCTGTCAGAGTAAGTTCACTCACTCTGTCAGTGTAAGTTCACTCACTCTGTCAGTGTAAGTTCATTCTGTCAGTGTACGTTCATTCTGTCAGTGTAAGTTCACTCACTCTATCAGTGTAAGTTCACTCACTCTGTCAGTGTAAGTTCACTCACTCCGTCAGTGTAAGTTCATTCTATGGGTGTAAGTTCACTCACTCTGTCAGTGTAAGTTCACTCACTCTATCAGTGTAAGTTCACTCACTCTATCAGTGTAAGTTCATTCTGTCAGTGTAAGTTCACTCACTCTGTCAGTGTAAGTTCACTCACTCCGTCAGTGTAAGTTCACTCTATGAGTGTAAGTTCACTCACTCTGTCAGTGTAAGTTCACTCACTCTATCAGTGTAAGTTCACTTACTCTATCAGTGTAAGTTCATTCTGTCAGTGTACGTTCATTCTGTCAGTGTAAGTTCACTGACTCTATCAGTGTAAGTTCACTAACTCTGTCAGTGTAAGTTCATTCTGTCAGTGTAAGTTAACTCCGTCAGTGTAAGTTCACTCACGCAATCAGTATCAGTTCACTCACTCTATCAGTGTAAGTTCATTCTGTCAGTGTATGTTCAGCCACTCTATCAGTGTCAGTTCACTCCGTCAGTGCAAGTTCACTCACTCTATCAGTGTCAGTTCACTCCGTCAGTGCAAGTTCACTCACGCAATCAGTGTAAGTTCACTCACTCTATCAGTGTAAGTTCATTCTGTCAGTGTAAGTTCACTCACTCCGTCAGTGTAAGTTCACTCACTCTGTCAGTGTAAGTTCACTCACTCTATCAGTGTAAGTTCACTCACTCTATCAGTGTCAGTTCATTCTGTCAGTGTAAGTTCACTCACTCTGTCAGTGTAAGTTCACTCACTCCGTCAGTGTAAGTTCATTCTATGAGTGTAAGTTCACTCACTCTGTCAGTGTAAGTTCACTCACTCTATCAGTGTAAGTTCACTCACTCTATCAGTGTCAGTTCATTCTGTCAGTGTAAGTTCACTGACTCTATCAGTGTAAGTTCACTCACTCCGTCAGTGTAAGTTCATTCTATGAGTGTAAGTTCACTAACTCTGTCAGTGTAAGTTCACTCACTCTATCAGTGTAAGTTCACTCACTCTATCAGTGTAAGTTCATTCTGTCAGTGTACGTTCATTCTGTCAGTGTAAGTTCACTGACTCTATCAGTGTAAGTTCACTCACTCTGTCAGTGTAAGTTCATTCTGTCAGAGTAAGTTCACTCACTCTATCAGTGTAAGTTCATTCACTCTGTCAGTGTAAGTTCATTCTGTCAGTGTACGTTCATTCTGTCAGTGTAAGTTCACTCACTCTATCAGTGTAAGTTCACTCACCCTGTCAGTGTAAGTTCACTCACTCCGTCAGTGTAAGTTCATTCTGTCTGTGTAAGTTCACTCACTCTATCAGTGTAAGTTCACTCACTCTGTCAGTGTAAGTTCATTCTGTCAGTGTACGTTCATTCTGTCAGTGTAAGTTCACTGACTCTATCAGTGTAAGTTCACTCACTCTATCAGTGTAAGTTCATTCTGTCAGTGTACGTTCATTCTGTCAGTGTAAGTTCACTGACTCTATCAGTGTAAGTTCACTCACTCTATCAGTGTAAGTTCACTCTGTCAGTGTAAGTTCACTCTGTCAGTGTAAGTTCACTCTGTCAGTATAAGTTCACTCACTCTGTTAGTGTAAGTTCACCCTCTCGGTGTACAAAATGATTATCAGATTGGCGGTTTTCATACACGTTGGGGGCATTTAATGATAGGTGGGGGCATTTAATGATAGGTGGAGGCATTTAATGATAGGTGGAGGCATTTTATGATAGGTGGCATTCGGAAATGCATATGAGTCTGTCGTATGCTTTATTTTTTTAGCATACATATCAAGCCTTACATACAGATAACAGTAAAACCGTATATAAGGCAGAAGCGCCACATATTGACATTTCCTCACAATAAGCTGTCCAATGTGTAGAAGCTGCTGTAAAATTTGACAATAACACAGTCACCCTTGGCCAGGTCGTGAATGAAAAGCTCCATCTGTGATGTACGTTTGTTTCGGACAGATGGTAGGCACGAGTCCCTCTGCGTGTTTGTGGCGTCCAATGTATATCAGGCGTTAAGCATATGTAACATTTTTGTCATATAAAAGGCAAAAGCGTCACCTATTTCAAATGTGACACTGCTCAACATTCGGGGGTTGTGTTCTGTTCAGCAGTATTTATTGGGTACGTATTGTAATGTTGAGTGTGATA